CCCAAGAGTGCCTTTATAGTCATCTGCAGACATATTAGTCCAGGCTACCACAACAAAAATAACATAGACTGGATGGCTAAAACAATAGAAATTAGGCCAGGGACAGTGGCTCACGTCTGTAATCCCAGCCCTTTGGTAGGCTGAGGTGGACAGATCACTTGAGGTCAGGAGTTCGAGACCAGCCTGGCCAATATGGTGAAACCCCATCTCTACTAAAAATGCAAAAATTAGCCTGGTGTGGTGGCGGATGCCTGTAATCCCAGCTACTTGGGAGGCTGAGGCAGGAGAATTGCTTGGACTCGGGAGGTGGAGGTTGCAGTGAGCCAAGATTGTGCCACTGCACTCCAGCCTGGGTGACAGAGACTCTGTCTCAAAAAGTAAAATGAAATAAAAATAATAAAAACCATAGAAATTAATTTCTTAGAGTTCCGGAGCCTAGAAGTCCAAGATAAAAGTTCTAGCTGATTCAGTTTCTGGCAAGGGCTTTCTTCCTGGCTTGCAGACAGCCATCTTTTTTTCTGTGTCCTCATATGATAGGGAGGAAAAGAAGGAAAGGGTGAATCCCCTGGTGTCTCTTCTTACAAAGACACTAATCATATTGGGTTAGGGTCCCATCTTTATGACCTCATTTAACTTTGATTATTTCCTTAGAAGTCCTTTCTCCACATACATTCATATTGGGGTTTAGGGATTCAACATAATGAATTTTAAGGGGACACAATTCAGTTCCCAGAAGTTTGCCTCTGCCCCCCATCCCCCTAATTCATGTCCTTCTTGTATCCATTCCATCCATACAGCCCCAGAGGTCTTAACTAGTTCCATCATCAACTCTAAAATTCAAAGACCTTATCTAAATATTATCTAAATCAGAGATTGGTGAGACTCAAGTTATAATTCATCCTGAGGTGAAATTCCCTTCCAGCTGTGAACGGTTGAAATCAGACAAGTTATGTGCTTCCAAAATACAATGGTAGGACAGGCATAGGATGAACATTCCCATTCCAAAAGGAAGAAGTCAGAGGGAAAAAAGGATTATGGGTCCCAAGCAAGGCAAATTTCTTTCTTTCTTTCTTTCTTTTTTTTTTTTTGAGACAGAGTTTCACTCTTGTTGCCCAGGCTGGAGTACAATGGCATGATCTCAGCTCACCTCAACCTCTGCCTCCTGGGTTCAAGTGATTTTCCTGCCTCAGCCTCCCATGTAGCTGGGATTACAGGCATGTGCCACTATGCCCGGCTAATTTTATATTTTTAGTAAAGACAGGGTTTCTCTATGTTGGTCAGGCTGGCCTCAAACTCCTGACCTCAGGTGATCCACCTGCCTCTGCCTCCCAAAGTGCTGGGATTACAGGAGTGAGCCACCCGCCTGTAATCCCAGCACTTTCAGAGGCTGTGGCAAGCAGATCATGAGGTCAGGAGTTTGTGACCAGCCTGGCCAATATAGTGAAACCCCATCTCTACTAAAGATACAAAAATTAGCCAGGCGTGGTGGCGCATGCCTGTAGTGCCAGCTACTCGGGAGTCTGAGGCAGAAGAATTACTTGAACCCGGGAGATGGAGGTTGCAGTAAGCTGAAATCACGCCACTGTATTCCAGCCTGGCGACAGAGCGAGACTCCGTCTAAATAATAATTTAAAAAAGAACAATCCTTTGCTTTGCTTTCCTTTGCTTTGATGATCTAACTTCCAGGCTCACTGGAGTAGCAGAGTCACCCTACTGCTCTGTGGGGTGGCCCTGCCCCTTCATCTCTCTGCAGGGGCCCCAACCCTCTGAAACCAAGGAAGGCATAATAGCACTGCCCCCGGGCTTATGGTAAAAGTGGCATCTCTGAGGATCTGTGATCCCCTTTGGCATCATTTTTTGCTTTTCTTGAGGAATAGGGCACATTCACAGTCAAGTTAACTCATGGTTTTGTTTTGTGGAATCCAGGAAGTCCAATACCTTCCTTCATTCTTTCCTACTTTCTCTGTCCTTTTTAGTTCAAACTAGCGGTTTCTGCTGTTACAACACCTTATCTGTTACTGGCTTCTGAGGTGGCTGATTAACATCAAGCGTAAGCTATTTATAGAGTGAGTGTCCGACCATACTTTTGGTCTTCTCTCTAGAGCAAGCTTTCTTATTTTTAGCAATATGGATAGGCTAAGAATTTTTCAGATCTCTAAGTTCTAGTTCCATCTTGCTGAACAGTTCCTTCTTCAATTTATCTCTCTCCTCTTGCATTTTTACTATAAGTGCTCTAGGAGGAACCAAGCCACTTTTTCCACACTTTGCTTAGAAATATCCTGAGATAAATAGCCAATTTCATTTCTCACAAGTTTTAGCTTCCATAAAATACAAGAGCACAGTCAGCCAAGTTCTTTGCCACTTTATACTGAGGACCAGCTTTCCTTCAGTTTCCAATAACGTGTTCCTCATTTCTGTATAAAGCCTCACTAGAACTGCCCTTACTGTTCATATTTTCAATATGTGCCTCAAAACTTTTCCAGCCTTTGCTTATTAGCCAATTTCAAAATCAATTCCACATTGTAGTACTATTTGTTATAGTAGTACGTCTCTTCTCTTACCGCCCAAATGTACCATACCTCATTTCTTGATACTAAAATCTGTTTTGGTCACCTCAGACTGCTATAACAAAAATGTTATAGTCTGAATGGCTTGAACAACAGAAATTTTATTTTCTTACGGTTCTGGAAACTAGAAGTTCAAGATCAAGCTTCTGGCTGATTGATTCCCAGTGAGAGCTCTCTTCCTGGCCTGTAGATGGCCACCTTCTTGCTGTGCCCTCATGTGGAGAAAGGAGGAAGAGTGAGCTCTTGGGTTGGTCTTTTCTTCAAGGACACTAATCCTCTCAAGTCAGGATGTCATTCTCATGACCTCATTTTATATTAATCACTACCTTACAGGCCCTCTCTCCAAATACAATCACATTGGGAAATAGGGTTTCAACTTATGATTACTGGGGAGGCAGAGCAGTGGTCATGTGTAGAGTCATGAAAAATTGAATAACCCTGTACACACATTCTGAGCTGAGGTTGAACAAGGTCATGGTCTGCCTTCTCATTTGAGCTCTCATACTGTAAACAAGTGTCCTTTTCATAGTCTTTATAATGCCACTTATTTTTTCATTCTTGTGGTTTTTTATTAGTGTTTCACTGTTCTTCACTTCATCCAGTTTTATTTTCTTCATAACTCCTATAATTATCAGAAATTATCTTATTTGTTTGTTTACATATTAATGGTCCCTTACTCCACTAGAACATAAGTTCCAAGAGAGCAGGGACCTTCTCTCTCATTCACTATATTCTTTTCTCTTACTTACTATATCATCCCCAATGCCTGGAACAGTAACTAGCATGTAGGAAAGGAGATGTCAATGGATACTTGCTAATGAAGAAATGAATATTCTAAATGAAATGTTAAAAAACAACTTACTTAGAGGCTTCATAAAAGCCTCTTCTTTAATCCAACCCTTACTAGTTAGAAAAAAACATAGCATTGTAGTTTTTTGTGTTTGTTTACATTTGGATTAATTTCCAGATTCTTTTTGATTTTGGGATCTTAAGTTTGTATATTGATTTATTCTTCTAACCTCACTGTTTATGTTTTGTTTTGGAGGGCTTTCTTTTGAAAAAGTTTTGTTCTGTCCCCCAGGCTGGCGTGCATGGCATTGTTCATTGCACCCTCGAATTTCTGGGCTCAAGCAATCCTCCTGCCTTAGCCTCCCAAGTAGCTGGGATAATACGTATGTGCCACTGTGCCCAACTAATTTTTTGAACGTTTCAGACATGATCTCACTATGTTGCCCAGGCTGGTCCTGAACTCCTGAGCTCAAGTGATCCTCCTGCCTCTTCTCCCAAAGTGCTGGAATTATAGGTGTGAGCCACTATGCCCAGCTTCTGTTCATGTATTGATGTGTTACTCTAATTTCACTGAGTTATTATAATTAAAATAATTATAGGTGAAATGTCTTTTAGTTTTAAATTTATTTATTATACTTTAAGTCCTGGGATACATGTGCAGAGCATGCAGATTTGTTACTTTGAAATGTTTTTATGATAGTTTCACTTATAATTACTTAGATCATGTGATGAGTGCAACAGCCATAAAAATGTTTATCATCTATAGGTAAACCTTGGTTGGAATTCAAGATAAACCTCCCTCATGGTGAATACTGTATTATAACAGATTCTGTAATGGCTACTTGTCCTATAGTGTATTAAGGAGGGAAAGTGTACCAAGAATTAAGTGTTTGAAGAAGATATTATAATTTAATATTTGAAAGGTTATTTTTTTATTTGTTTCTTTCTTTTTTTTGACTTAGAGTCTTGCTCTGTCACCCAGGCTGGAGTCAGTGGCGTGATCTCAGCCCACTGCAAGCTCCACCTCCCAGGTTCAAGTGATTCTTCTGCCTCAGCCTCCTGAGTAGCTGGGACTACAGGTGCCCACCACCACACCTGGCTAATTTTTGTATTTTTAGTAGAGATGGGCTTTCGCCGTATTGACCAGGCTGGTCTCAATTTCCTGTCTCATGATCCACCCACCTCATCCTACCAAACTGCTGGGATTACAGACATGAGCCCGTAGGGTTTTTTTTTAAAGAATCATAAAAGGAACCCTGAAGTTAAAATTGGTATATTTAATTGACAAATTTGTTGTTTTAACAAGACTTTTTCTTTAAGCGTTTTCACAAGTTTTACGAGGACTTTAAATGTGCTTTTTATCAGTAAAGACTGTGTACAGTGGCAAGTTATAAGAAAATTATAATAATTACTTTTTTAAAGTTGATAAATTATCAAAGCAGAGTCCATTTTAATTTTTAGTGATTATTGCAGAAAGTATTGAGTGAACAGCTTTGTAACTTTCCACAAGAAAGCCATACTTTAGACAGTTGGAAATAAACCCCCTAGATTTTAAGATTTTTTCATGTAATGGACTATGGTTTTTGGATATCATCTTTATTATATTTTTCATACCAAATCTAATATTATCTCTTTTGTATTTAGGTTCGGTTGGTGATAGTGGATGGCATTGCTTTTCCATTTCGTCATGACCTAGATGATCTGTCTCTTCGTACTCGGTTATTAAATGGCCTAGCCCAGCAAATGATCAGTCTTGCAAATAATCACAGATTAGCTGTAAGTATTAACTAGTGAAGAGAGTTATACAACAAAGTCAAGACTGTATAAAATGTTAATGTCAAAATGTATAAAATGAAATAGCAAAATAGCATTTGCCTGAGTAATAAATAATATAGATATGCAGTTTTGAGTAAAGTTTCTGTTTGGTTTGGTTTCTATTTAAAAAATTCTAGTCATAAGTGTCAGCTTTCCTTCAAAAAACAAGTGTAATTAATATGTCATTTTAAAAAATGGACTTTGTAGCAGGGCACAGTGGCCCACGCCTGTTATCCCAGCACTTCCAGAGGCTGAGGCAAGCAGATCACAAGGTCAGGAGTTGAAGACCAGCCTGGCGAACATGGTGAAACCCTGTCTTTTTACTAAAAATAAAAAATAAAAAAAATTGGCCAGGCATGGTGGCACATGCCTGTAATCACAGCTACTTGGGAGGCTGAGGCAGGAGAATTGCTTGAACCCAGGAGGCGGAGGTTGCAGTGAGCCAAGATGGCACCATTGCACTCCAGCCTGGGCAACAGAGCAAGACTCCATCTCAAGGAAAAAAAAATGAACTTCGTTTGATAAAGAAGTCTCACCTTTGTTAATTGCAGTGTCTTCTTAGTTTAAATAAACTTTGGATGTTTTTCAGGTCAACTCTTCCAACATTCCTGGTTTTCTTTTACTTTGAGTCTTTGATTATTATGTAATATATAATCACAGATTCAGATGGATTTAAACATTACATAGTGTAAACAGCCTAGATGATTTGAGGTAGAGCTAAATAACTCTTGAAGATTTGAAATGTGAGGAAAGAAGTAAATATAGGCTCAGAAGTGAAGAGTTTTTTTTTTTTTCTTTTGAGACAGAGTCTCACTCTGTTGCTCAGGCTGAAGTGCAGTGGTGTGATCTCGGCTCACTGCAGCCTCCGCCTTCCAGGTTCAAGCAGTTCTCTGCCTCAGCCTCCTGAGTAGCTGGAATTACCGGCACTTGCCAAAATGCCCAGCTAATTTTTTTGTATATTTAGTAGAGATGGCATTTCACCATCTTGGCCAGGCTGATCTTCAACTTCTGACCTTGTGATCCACTGACCTCGGCCTCCCAAAGTGCTGGGATTACAGGCGTGAGCCACCACGCCCTGCCTATATCTATTATCTATCTATCTATGTATATATTTTTTAAGTTTTGCCTTACTCCTTTTTAATTGCCTGTTTGCCGTTACTTCCTATTCTGAAACTGCTTCTCACCATTGACACAAATACACACACTTGTCTGGGAGTAAGATGTAAGAAGGTCAGACTGCTTAGCTTGATTTCTTTGTCTTTACCTTAATTAGAGAGACCTTAGCACATGCTTGTAATACATCATAAGTAAATAATGAACTTCCCCAATAAAATCATTTCAAAGCAGACTTTTTTTCTTTGAATTTCCAGATTTTTGCCATATGCTGAAAAGTATAGTGCCAGTGTTTGAATTACTTCTTGCTTAAATTAATTGTAATTTAGCATTTTGTTAATGTCAGTGAAGAGCCCCCAGTAGGGGGCACTCAAGACTAATGGGTCGCATAGTTCCTTCTTTTATTTATTTTTTGTTTTGTTTTGTTTTTTGAGATGGAGTTTTGCTCTGTTGCCCAGGCTGGAGTGCAGTGGCATGATCTTGACTCACTGCAACTGGGAGGCAGAAGGCCTCCCAGATTCAAGCAATTCTCCTGCCTCAGCCTCCCGAGTAGCTGGGACTACAGGTGAACGCTGCCGTGCCCAGCTAATTTTTTGTATTTTAGTAGAGACAGGGTTTCACCATGTTGCCCAGGCTGGTCTTCAACTCCTCAGCTCAGGCAGTCCATCCGTTTTGACCTCCCAAAGCATTGGGATTACAGGTATGAGCTACCGCACCTGGCTCCTTATGTTATTTTAACAGAAATAGCTTCATTTCTTCTAACTAAAAAAGCAATCCAAACAATAACATCAGATAGTAGGTAGTGTTTAAGAAGAGTGCTGTAAATATAAACATCCTAACGTGGAAGAAGATATATACAGATATATTACTGAGTGAAAAAATTTAAGTCATATATAAAATATATTTAATGTCATCCCACGTTAGAGAAAACTTAAAATTATATGTATGCATTTATATTTGTATATGTGAAGAGAAAGATCTGAAAGGACCAAAACATTAACAGTAGCTACTTCTTTTTTATTTTTTTGGAGATGCAATCTTACTGGAGTGCAGTGGCGCAATCAGGGCTCACTGCAGCGTCAACATCCCAGGCTCAAGTGACCCTTGCACCTCAGCCTCCCTAGTAGCTGAAACTACAGGTGCATTTCGCCATGCCTGCTTCATTTTTGTATTTTTTTTTTTTTTTTTTAATAGAGATGGGGTTTCATCATGTCTCCTAGCTGGTCATTAACTCTTGGGCTCAAGTGATCATCTGCTTACCTTAGCCAAAGTGCTTGGATTACATGCATGAGCCACTGTGCCCGGCTTTGGTTACTTCCAAGGATAGGATTTTGTGGGGTCAGGGACACACTTTTCCCCTCTCACTTTATAAATTCTTTGCTTGAAGGTTTTTTTCCCCCCCAATTAGCATATATATATATATATAACATGTATGGCTTTTGATAATGTATTTTATAATTTTAAGGCCAGATGTGGTGGCTCACACCTGTAATCCCAGAATTTTTGGAAGGTCAAAGTGGGAAGATCGCCTGAAGCTAGGAGTTTGAAACCAGCCTGGATGACAAAGCCTGACCCCATCTCTAAAAAAAAAAAAAAAAAAATACATAAGAATAATTGGCCAGGCAAGGTAGCTCATGCCTATAATCCCAGCACTTTGGGAGGCTGAGGCAGGCAGATCATGAGGTCAGGTGTTCAAGACCAGCCTGACCAACAAGCTGAAACCCCATCTCTACTAAAAATACAAAAATTACCCAGGCATGCTCCTGTAATCCCAGCTACTTGGGAAGCTGAGGCAGGAGAATCGCTTGAACCCAGGAGGCGGAGGTTGCAGTGAGCTGAGATCACACCACTGCACTCTATCTAGCCTGAGCAACACAGCGAGACTCCATCTCAAAAAGGAAAAATAATAATTTTAAGGTATTTTTTGTTTATTTTTTGAGACAGATTGTTGTCCAGGCTGGAATGCAATGGCCTGATCTCAGCTCACTGAAGACTCTGTCTCAAGAAAAAAAATAAAAGAATATTGTATGCTTTTTTTTCCTTCTTTTTTTTTGAGACGGAGTCTAGCTCTATCGCCCATGCTGGAGTGCAGTGGCATAATCTCGGCTCACCACAACCTCTGCCTCCCAGGTTCAAGCGATTCTCCTGCCTTAGCCTCCCGAGTAGCTGGGATTACAGGCGCATGCTACCATGTCCAGATAATTTTTGTATTTATAGTAAAGACGGGGTTTCACCATGTTGGTCAGGCTGATCTTGAACTCCTGACCTTGTGATCCGCCCACCTCAGCCTCCCAAAGTGCTGGGATTGCAGGCATGAGCCACTGCATCAGGCCCATGTATGCTTTTTGTAAAAAAAAAAAAAAAAAAAAAAAAAAGTTCTAAACAATAAAAAATGTAGAAAGTGATTATTCATTACCCAGAAATGGTGTAAATATTGTTATCTGGTGTAAATATTTTTGCTGACTTTATGCATATACAAACTTACTTTTTAGAAAATGACGTCATGCCACAACAGTGGCTCCGCTTGTATCCCAGCACTCTGGAAGGCCAAGGTAGGAGAATCAGTTGAGCCCATGAGTTTGAGACCAACCTGGGAAATACAGTGAGACTTCGTCTCTACAATTTTTTTTTTTTTTTTTGAGGCGGAGTCTTGCGCCGTCGCCCAGGCTAGAGTGCAGTGTGCTATCTTGACTCACTGCAACCTCTGGCTCCTGGGTTCAAGTGATTCTCCTGCGTTAGTCTCCTGAGCAGCTGGGATCACAGGTGCGCACCACCACACCCGGCTAATTTTCTTTATTTTTAGTAGAGATGGGGGTTTCACCATGTTAGCCAGGATGGTCTTAATCTCCTGACCTTGTGAGCCACCGTGCCTGGCCAATTTTTTAAAAATGTTAGTCAAGTATAGTGGCATGCACCTATAGACCTAGCTACTTGGGAGGGTGAGGTGGGAGGATTCCTTGAGGTTGGGAGGCGGAGGTTGCAGTGAGTCAAGAATGTACCACTGTGCTCCAGCCTAGACAACAGAACAAGACCTTGTCTCCAAAAACACAATAAGAAAAAGAAAATGTGGTCATATACATGCTATTATGCAAAGCAGCTTTCTGTTTTTCACTTAATACAGTATGAACATTTTTTATGTACACTACTTTTTTTGTTTTGTTTTCCATGTACACTACTTATAAGTCTGCTTTACGCTAACAGCTATGTAGTATTTTGTTGTATGATTGTAGCATGGGATTTTTTTGTATTTGTTTTTAGGTTTTTTTCTTAGACGGGGGTTTGCTCTGTCACTCAGGCTGGAGTGCAGTGACATGATCTTGATTCACTGCAGCCTCAATCTCCTGGGCTTAAGCAATCCTTTCACCTCAGCCTCCTGTGTAGCTGGGACTACAGGCACACACCACCACACCCAGCTGATTTCTAAATTTTTGGTAGAGGCCAGATGCGGTGGTTCACATCTATAATCCCACCACTTTGGGAGGCTGAGGCAGGCGGATCAGTTGAGGTCAGGAGTTAGAGAATGGCCTGACCAACATAGTGAAACTTTGTCTCTACTAATAATACAAAAATTAGCTGGGCGTGGTGGTGCACACTTATAGTCCCAGCTACTCAGGTGGCTGAGGCAGGAGAATCACTTGAACTCGGGAAGTGGAGGTTAGAGTGAGCCAAGATCATACCACTGCACTCCAGCCTGGGCGACAGAGCAAGACTCTGTCTCATACATACATACATACATACATACATTTTTTTGTAGAGATGAGGTCTCACTATGTTGCCCAGGCTGGTCTCTAACTTCTGGGCTTAAGGAATCCACCTGTCTCAGCCTTCCATAGGCATGAGCCACTGTG